CGGCGCGGCTTCTCCCCGGCCTGTTCTCTGCATGGCCTCCCTCCTGCCTCTGCCGGGGTGGGACTGCAAATCTCCACCTCCGCTACGCCAGGAAAAGAAGGAGACGGAGCGAAGAAGTCAGCGCGTCCCCCCCTTTCCCTGCCCCCTCCCCCAATTAAAACAAACCCCAGCCCCAGCCGAGCCCCGGCCAACGCCGAGCACAAAGGCTGCCTGCGGGCACGGGGGATCGCGGAGCTCCTTAACCCTTCCCTCCCCGACACCCGCCCGCACTGCCCGGGCATCCCCGGGAACCCCGCTGCCTGGGGCTGCCTGAAGGGCCGGGGGTGTCTGGAGGAACGACACGACCTAGGAACCGTGAGGAGAGCAGGGCGAAAAAGTCCCTCGCTGAAATACACAGCTTTTTGTTCGGCGTTTTGCCCGGGTTTGGCCAGATTTAAACATGTTTCCAAGACAATCGGTGCAACTCGATGTTAAAAATGCTGCGTCCATAAGCAGCGACCGTTCCCGGGTGAAAATCTCTGTGGTCCATCCAGGACACACCTTGCTAAGAACAACACAGTTCTCAAGACCAAAAATGCATTTACAAAGATAAAAAAAGACATAACTTGCTAGTAACTCTTAGTTCTCGAGACCAAAAATGCATTTACAAAGATAATAAAAGACATAACTTGCTAGTAACTCTTAGTTCTCAAGACCAAAAATGCATTCACAAAGATAATAAAAGACATAACTTGCTAATAACTCTTAGTTCTCGAGACCAAAAATGCATTCACAAAGATAATAAAAGTGTAGCATCTCCTGGCATTCCCATGTTTCCTAATATTGTTCTTCTGTCAAGGTAGGGGTACACTAAAACTTGTGCAGAAAAATTGGGAAGTTCTCTTATAGCTAATAATCTTGTTTTGTGATGAGAAGAAAATACCAGTTTATCCAAGGGAGCAGCTTGGAGTGGGAGCAGTGTGAAAATCCCTTCATGCTAGCAAGTTCAAGGCATTTTGAGTGCCTTGTTGAAGCCTTTCAGGATCCTCGTTTTCGTGGCAAGTTGCCCTATGGCCACAGCACAGAAATTATGTTCTAAACACATATGGGCTCCTTTGGGATGCAGACAGGCAGTCTTCCTAAAGATGACAGAAAAATACGTGATCCTAAAAGAATAAAAACAGACCGAAAAGAACAATAGAAAATGTGATGCCAGTGGCCTGCAGAATTAAAATATCCCACACTAAATGTTGTAAGAAATAGTTTTGAACTTTATTGAGGTTTGCATAGTTAAAGGAATGTTTCAGTAGATGTTATTTTAAAACATCTGATAAATCTTGAACAGGAAAAAACAGCATCTGGATTGACTGGAATAGTAATACTTCATTTCTTCCAGAAAGTCATTTCAGTTAAATGATGTGTCAAAGCACAAGGTCTTTGAAAGAACCTAAGTGTTCAAGCTGAAAATCACAAGAAACTTGCAGATCAGGCAGGTAGAAAAGCTTAATTCAAAATCTCACGTTGTCCTGATGTTGAATAAATGCTGATAAGACACTAGATTGTCCATATAGTAGTAAAAGTTATTTAAAATTCTTTTTAGTTTGGTCATAAATGTGTAGTATTAATGATTTACTTAGTCAACAATCCTCTGTATGATAACTTCTTGGAAAAACTATTGAAGAGCTAGAAAGTGTGGTACTTAAAGGCCAGGCACAATTTATGGCGTTCTTTAGTGCAATTCTGAAATCCCTTTTTATGTTCTCTCAACATTCTTAAACCCCTATTCCTTTTCTAGGATCATTTGACCTTTATCTCTAAACAACCAGAGCTGTTAAAAAAAAAAAGTAAATTCTATTTTTTGTCTCATTCAAACAGACATTTTCCCTTCCAGTTCCTAATTTCATTAATTTTGAAGGTTTACATCCTATATTCAGACACTGCCATGCATTAAACTAATAATCAAATTTACTAATGCTGTTAAAGATCTCTTTCAAAATATTTTAAAAGTGAGCTTTTTATTACCATTGTGAATACCTGTCACTGCCAACCCACATAAGTGTTATTAATTAATAGAAATTATCAAATTGCTCAATTCTGTGTTGTTCTTATTATTGTTTATTTATTAATGGTGTCTTTGTTCTGTCTTTAGGTGTCTAATACTGGGTTGAATTCTTGTCTTAAACGAAGTAAAGTTCAAAAGTTATATTTAATTCGTCCTGTTAGTTTTTTTTCTCTGTGTTGAGGAAAGTAACATGGAAAAAGAAGTTTTTATATATGAATTATCTAAAAAACTGCAGTTGCAAACACAGCCTGCAAGCTGACCTCAGCTACTAGGAAAAGTGATCAAACACAGCTCTTTGCACCAAGATATTTTCAGCCATTAGAGACACTTTCACCATCATTTCAGGACTGTGCATGCATTCTTTTTTGGAAGGGTTCTTGACTGAGGACTCTCTTCCAGATTCAGCACAGTGAAAGTGTTTCCTCTGACCTCTTCTGGTTTGTGTCTTCAACAAGCTGCTGAACTTGTCTTGCACAACTTCAGAGATTCAGAGGAAGGGTGATGTGCAAGTCTCCTTACAAAATGACCTGTTATACTTCAGTTTTAAGGATACCTGGAGTCATGCTTCAAGAGGACTCTCAACATTTTGTAAAGCCATTAATTTTCTTGAAGCCTTCA